TGGTTGTGGCATCAAGGGGTTCATTTGACGGCCCCCCCCCCCTGCTACCACTGCCACTTTGCTTCAAATATAAAATGGCTACAACATAAGCATCAGGGGCAGATCCAGGTGTATCCGGAGGGGGGTCAGGGAGGGGAGGTCAAGAGATCAACACTACAACAGTACTCAAGGGATCCCGGGATTTTTTTTTTATTGTTTTCTCCCCTGACATGTTCATATTGTTCCATAATTTTTTCATTCTATTTTTTAGTAATACATTTTGATGTTTTTAGTAGAATTGAATTTCTATCCTATTCTTCACTACTACTACTGATTTTCTTTAAAGTTTCATGACGACATTTTTTTAACAACATGGAGGAAATGAAAAGCTACCAATTAATTTAGAAATATCTGTAATCATGCAGGAATTAAAGTGAAGAACTAGGGAATGCTTTAAGGATAACAATGGAGTTAGGATAAAATCAGGCCTACCTATAGAAATTTGCCGACGAGGTCCATGTCCGACAGCGGGGACCGAACCAAGGAAGGGCCGAATAGAGCCTCGATCAGGGACCCAGAAATGCAGGCCTAGCATTTAATCATGTTATTATTATCTACACATTGTATGCACTTTATGAACAGTAAGTATTTAGAGGTATTAATGCTAATTTGTAGCTTTAAAAATACGGAAACTTACGTTATATCTTGTGATGATTGTATATAAGTACCTCAGCACTCCTACTCGTTTCTCCTACACATGTAGTTTTGTTTATTGTTGTTGTTTTGAGCCATAGATATAGCGCCGCCAACGAAAAATCATAATATGCAGTATCCTCACGCAACTTTGTACATGTTTCGTAGGATGGTATAAGGATTTTTGCTACACTATCCTATCATATGACGAATAATAAATCGAACCTTGAACCTTATGAGGCGCCAAGTGTAAATTTATTATTTAACACAATTATTTATATATAATTCATTATTTAACATATAATTGAGTAGATCACCCATTATTTATATATAATGCATTTACGTCTAAAAGATTATATGTAAATAATTGCGTTAACGTTTTCATTATTTATATATATTTAGTTTACTTATTTCATTACATATAAAGAATGAAAGGGTAACCAAACATTATTTATATATAATAAGATTACTGGTTTCATTATATATAAATAAGGAAAGGGTAACACATCATTATATATAAATAATGAAAAGTAACTTACAATTATTTATATATAATAAGTTCACTGATTCCATTATAGATAAATAATGAAAAGGTAACAAATCATTATAGGCCTATATAAATAATGAAAAGTAACTTACAATTATTTATATATAATAAGTTCACTGATTTCATTATATATAAATAATGAATTGACTTCAAACTCATTATATATAAATAACTGCTTTTACATTTCATTATATATAAATAATAGCTGTCGCAAAATCATTATATGTATATAATGCTTGGACTTCAAACTCATTATATGTATATAATGCACACGTGTTATCGTGCCAAGGTCATTAATAATGGTTTCTTACTGCCAATTATATATAAATAACCGTTGAGGTCGAGTGCCATTATATATAAATAATGACATCGTAGGAAGTCATGGTTTATAAATAATTCGTTATGCAAATTACGAAGTAATAAATATTCACCAGTGCTCTTTTAAGTTACAATTAGGGCCTATTGTGTGTGGTCTACAGGTCGCAGACCATCACCAATCGAAAATGGCACAGCAAGGGATACAGCAGATTATTGAATCTGCTGTACTGCAAATCTCAAATCAATTAAGAGAACCCCAAAGTGAACGCCGCGGCCCTCAGGAATATCGATTTGAGTCCATCTTGTCCGGGTCCGGGGCAATGTCCGGGGAAATGTCCGGATCAGCTGCTGGTGATAGGCATAATACCGAGGTTCATCAACTTTGGGGTTCTCTTAATTGATTTAAGATTTGCAGTACAGTAGATTCAATCAGTGATGGAGCCAGGATCTGCCCAAAAACTGAAAATTGTCCCCTTAATTGGGATTTTTGGAATGTTTTCATATAACGATGACATTCTTATGATTTTATTTTTATTGACATAGAATCAGTTTACAGTAGAATAAGAACTAATTTACAGCAATAATTTGCAATGCAAATACAATTAATTTATAATATGAAATCAGCAGAAAACAACAATAATATGTTCCCAATATTGTTTCATTATGCAATGTTAATGACCAAATATTATTATTTTTTTTAATATTGAGCTTTCTATTAAATGATCAAATAATTTTATATGGTTTGAAATAGTATAATGTGATTAATATTGTGTGTAATATGTATGTGAAATGTCTTGAAAAGGTAAGACAATACTGGTTTACTTACAATAACAACAATCACATTAGAGCGTTCTAATATTAGATGGATGTAGCATGAATAGAGTAATACGTTTTGAGTGAATCATATATGAAAGTGACAAGAAAAACAAAGAAAAAGAAACCTTATTATGCATGACTTCTTATGGTGACGTCATGCATAATTTCGGCTGTACTACGCCTTAATTCATTTCTAATCTGCACGACAAAGAGTGGGCCCTGGTAACCACACAGCATAGCAAAATACAGTACCGTACAACCAATATAATAAAAATAATATGTTGTCCCTGTGTGGTTTTTTTTCCGCTACAATATTCAGTCTATGAACTTTCTTATTTTAATTGGATGAACAATTTCTGGGGGCGGATGCAGGGAGGGAGTGGGGGTGCAGACGGTGCGATCGCACCCCCCCCCCCTAAATTTTATTTTTTAAAAATCATTATTGTATTATAATATTGTCGAAATGAATTATCGGTAAGATTTTTAAGGTATGAGAGTGCAATTTCCGGAGGTCCACATTTTGAAAATTTTCTCACCATGTTTGTGGCTGAGGTGGTCTGGAATCTCACGCTCCCCCTACTTCCACATCCTGCATCCGTCCCAGTTCTGTATCAAACTCACAGTTTAAACACAATAACAGAAGGAAAAAATTGCAGCTCGCGATCGAGATCTTACAGTAGGTCATGGGTACAATAATCATCAGAAGTGAATTTCACGGGGATCGTGCTACCTTTTAGATGATGTTGAGATGATGGTTCCATCATTAAGATGATGTTGAAATGATGCTACCATTAAGAGGATGTTGTGATAATGCTACCTTTTAGATGATGTTGAGATGATGGTTCCATCATTACGATGATGTTGAGATGATGCTGCCATTAGGAGGATGTTGTGATAATGCTGCCTTTTAGATGATGTTGAGATGATGGTGCCATTAAGATGATGTTGAGATGATACTTTTTATCTGAGAATAATTTTTTAAATAAAATAAAAATGGTGGGCGTACATTGTAAGTCCTAGTGCAGCCGTGTCGTCCCCTGTTTGTCTGCCATTTACTATCCTGCGTCAGCTTGTCTGCGTCAGCTTGTCTGCGTTAGCTTGTCTGCTTTCAGTTTGTCTGCCAGTTACCGTCTAGTTACTGTCCTGCGTCCTTAACCTACTAACTTAACCTACTAACTTAACCTACTAACTTAAATAATATTCTAACTTAACATAACCTGCTATATAGTCTACCTCTATAACCGTGCCCTGTCCGATTGCCATGCCCGTGTGGCGTGCCCTGTCCGAGTGCCATACCGATGGCGTGCCCTGTCCGTGCCGTGCCCGGTCCGTGTGCGGTGCCGGCATCTAGAACCCGTGTCTAGAATTTCGTAATGCATGCCTCTATACATTGAGCCAATTTTGGTACATGTTGATTTGTAAGTTTTAAACCACTCTTATGTTTACTTTTTGAGGAAATATAAAAAAAAAGAAGCAAAAACAAGTTTACTTTCTAGAGCGTCGAAACCGATAACTGCAGCGTGACATCCTACATCGATTACCATTACACTACTGAGCTGTACGAGTGACTTCACGGACACGTTAAATTTGGTAATCTTAAACTTTAATGCTTTACATGTCTTGATAAGAAATAAATTGAAAAAAAAAATGTAGTAAGACTTGACCCCGGTAAATACAAAACTAAATTCGTACAAATTTATTTTGATTTATTAAAAGATGAATATTTAAAAATTAATAATCAATATTGAATTTACATTCACACAATATAAAGCTGTATTTGAACTCGGCAGGGCCGCCAAAAGGGAAAACACTACAAGAGAAAGGATTGTGTGGGGAATGTGTGGGCCCCAGTTACTGGCGTGAAATGCGAAAAACATTGAGCTGAAGCGTAAACATTTTTTAGGGGTGGGGGAGGGGAAGCTGTCAATCTGGAGTGGCTCATTATTAGGGGACCCATGTTGAGAGCCCATGATAGTAGTTACATTTTTTGAAAAAATATGTTACCTGCAATTTATTTGGGCCCCTGGTAAGCTTGTTTCCCCAGGGATCTTCTCCAAACCCTGCCAATACCACTCTTGTGGTGGCACTGGAATTCGGAAAATCTATAACTTTTCACTAGGCCTACATTATAACTCCAACAGAAAACAGCACTAAATTTTAAATCGAATTCGTGTTTTCAGCTAAAAAACGAGTATTAGTGTAAAACAACTGGAACATTTATTTTGTTTAAAAGTCTCAAAAATCACACATAGCCACTCTACACTAATGTTTAATGTTAATGCAATCGTCAGGAATGAGAGAATACAAAGACTGTATTATGAGTATGTGAATGCTATGCCAGGTGGATATGGAAATGCATTACTGTAATTGTTTTAAGTAAGAATTTGTTGTGGTTTCATGTAGACACAATAGCTCGGTTCTTTTGTTTAGTATTAAATGAATATATTATGTTAAATTATGTAATCATGAGTGGATTTCCCGCACAACAGCGTAACGGTGCTGGGTTTGGTCTACAGGAAACAGGTGATTCCATTCTTAGACAAGATTTTATGAAGAAAGTGTACATTTTTAGCAAGTTTTGCCTAGGTCGAAACGAACTCCGGCTATATAAAAGTGATTAGAACATTGAAAATGTTATTCTTGTAAATGAATAGATAAGGATTAATACTATGTCCATTTTTAATTGAATTAATCTACGCCACTGAGATATATATATATATATATATATCATTATATATATA